CTTCTAATTCTAATGAGCTCCTTCGTTTCTGATGGAAGATGCTCTTGTAAGTTGAGGCGCTGGGTTGGAACTTCCCGTGCGCTTCTTTCCATTGTTTGGGTGATCGCGTATTACAGCTGTTGTGTGGCGTTCTCCAGATCAGTCTATGTTTCGATGCGTAGTATGTCTCCTATCGCATCGTGAATGGTGCGCTGGAATCTTTTCCAGTCAATGATTCTCTTTGTTGGATAATCTGATTCCACTTCACCTCTTCATATCGTAAAAAGGATGGGATTGTGGTCTGACGACACTTCGTCTAGTACTTTCATCTCCGTAGTAGTGATGTTCTGCACTATTGCGACGTCAAAAATGTCTGGGACATGGTCTTCTCATGGATAATATATTGGGGATTCTGGTGCTACTACCACGATGTCCTCGAATTCTTCTAGTATTCTGGCTGGATGTTTGCCTTTTTATTTCCATTTCTGCAGTTCCATTCGCGCGACTTTGCGTTGAAGTCGCCCATGGTAACTGTTGGGTGGTGATCTGGGAACATTTTTGCTATGTCGGTTCTCTCTAGTCTTATACCTTGCGGAGGCAGGTATATCGACGAAATTCTCAGCTGTCCGTAACGTTTCAGTTTCACTCTGACCGCTACTGCTTCTTCGAGTTGTATTTCTGGCTTTCCATTTTCGTGTTGCGCTAGTTCGGTTTTTACTAGTAGCGCCACGCCCCCCGCAGCGCGACACCTGTTTCGCTATACAATAGCTTTCTCAAGAAACTGTTGCTTCAGAAAGCTATTGTATAGCGAAACACGTGTCTAGGTTTTTGTTAAACCTTTTATAGTGAAAATCATGCAGTAAAATGTATTAATTAGTTTTTTTAATATGGATTTTCATCAAGTTTCGGCCAGTTCTATTCAATGAAACCGTTTATGTTCCACGATCCTGTTTTTAGCAACTCTGGGGTTTGTGCTGGCATTACTGTTCCTCGGGTGCTTGTATTAGTGCAGCTAACACCGCTTGCGCGATCTTGTGCTGATCTGTTGTCAATTTTTCGAGTACGTTTATCAACTCGTTGCTGTTTATGTTTTCATTGCCTCCGGCTGTCTGCGCCTTCTGTGGTGTGTTTTTGACTGTCGGCCTGTTCCGTGCTGTTTGCGCTGTCCTCGGTTTGGAGAACATTTTACATCCCCTGTAGCTAGCCCCAGGTAGTTGGCGCATTTCGCTGGCGACTCTATTGTTTATTGACACTCTGGTGTCGTGGTTTTCTCCACACTTTACGCAACGCGCAGTTGCGTGGCAGCATCGTTAAGTGAGTGACTTTGGCATTTATAAGTATAGATTTAATCAGGTAAGCTGTGTGGGTATATGTGATATATTAAAAAGTGCTTTTCATAAAAAGTACTGAAAAACAATCTTGGGTGTAAAATAAAAAAGATCTATCGGTTATTGATGCGAGTGTTTCATATTTACTCACCGTATAAACACAACTTATAAAAGACTTTTGAGATTTGTTACATCAGATCATACAACATTGAATGTTTGAAGTGAATACTATATGTTTAACTTTTCAACTGACTCAGTTATGTACATCCATGTAACAAGAATTTGAAAATGATTCATTACTCCGCTGCTTGAAGAAATAAACTATGTAAGATATTCTCGAATATATATAAACTAGAAAGGGAGCAGCAGAATAGCAGTGATGTCAAGGTTTCCGCGCCGTGAAGCACGGTTCCGACATAATAATATTCCCAGTTTGAAATGAATGATCAAATCAATCTTGTTTGAATTTCTTGTAATCTCCAATTTGTCTTCTGGTTTAACTTTGAATAATCATAAATTCGAATGATTTTTTTCCAAAAAAAAATCGGTTTGCTTTTTATTCTGTATTTTCAAAAATTGGTATTATAAATAGATATCATCAGTAAATCACTGTTTGCATTACGAATGTCCATCGCTCTAAAACTGGTGAAAATTTTGAATTTCCATTTCCTTCGCTTTCGTTTCTGAGTCATTTCGGACCTTGGAAAAAAATCTAAAATTGAAGCTGAGATATGAAAAATATTGAAAAATAAAGAGAGTTTTTAATTTTATTTTAGGTTCCTTCATTCATTCAGCAATATTTCAAGTATTCTTCAATCGAGCTCATATGAACAATGGGACCTGTTACGCTGAGCCATGAAATGACAGGATTTTTACTGAAATGAAAAAAAAATTGTACAATTGATGATTCCATTAATGTAGGTAATTAATCAAACCTTTTCTCCAATAAAGGTGTTATTATTTCTTGTGTTCTACAGGGATGTAACGTTATGAAGGGCTTGTGTAATACTGGATGATCCTAAAAAAATTATTTGTCAACATTAATTGCTACCAACCCATAAAAAAAATATGAGTTCAGTAACGTGTTTACGAAAATTATAAAACTTTATATCAGAACAACATCATCACCAATACTAAAAAAGGAAATTCATTCATCTATTAGAACTATACAGGGTGTTCCAAATTAAGTTGGCACCATTGCCAACTCCGTTATTATTGATGCTACGAAATCGGTGAAACTAGTAGCATTTTTAATGTCGTTTCATGTAGTTTTATGTTTCATTCGTTTGATTTATGTCATTTTGTGTTGGTATTGCCTAAAAGACTTTAGTTGTTTTGCAATGTATTTTTTTTTTCAAATATATATCTAATATGTCTGATGGTTTTTAAAATAGTAATATTATCAACACAAAAAAACTACGTTTCAAGCCCTGAAGAAGAATTAATTTCAATTCGAAACGTCGGCGAGAAAAAAATGTTTTTTTTAAGAAATAATTGATCCTGTTACCCAACCAACCTTCTTTCAGAAAAATTATTGGATCACTAAACTATTTAACTGATCATGTTTTACTCTGAACACCTAATTTTCCAGAAACTCCCAAAAATAAGAATGTAGAGGTGTCATGTCTGGTGAACGAGGAGGTCACTCCATCTGTTTCCAAAACAGTCTAGTAACATTCTTTTTACGCCACTAAGAGTATGTGCTCGTGCTCCATCTTGCTGAAAATAGATCATCTGACGAGCCTCCAGATCAATATCATCGACAAAATCTTCCAACACTCTCGTTAATGAATTAATGGAACGGGGTTCGTTCAAAGAACCATGGTAGAAAAATGGACCGATAATTCTGCCTCTAAATGGACCACACCAAACAATAATACTAAATGGTCTTTGGGGATTGTGGTGATGGACTTGAAATATTATGCCTACTCCAATAAAATTATTTCTATTATACATCCCACAATTTGAAAAATATGCCTCCTCGCTCCATATATTATTACTACAGAAGTTTGGATCTTGTCTACATTTATTCATTAACCACCGACAAAACCCCAATCGTCTCTCAGGGTCAACAGGGTCTAGGGTTTGCACTAGTTTTAACTTATAAGGAGAAATATTATGTTTGACAGACGGTGTACAACTATTTCTCTAGATAAATCTCTATTGAATTTACCTCAAAATAGGCTAAAACGCCAAATTCTTCATCTTCAGATATTTTATTAAAAACGTTTTTTAGTTCTCCTTTCCTCAAAAACTTTTTCATTGTTTCTGAATCGACGGTGAAGCACAGCATACAAACGCCGATTAGGTAATTCATGATTGGGAAACGAATTGCTGTAGTGTTTGAATGCTCTTACGCTATTTTTCTAGCAAACCAATTAGGATTCTAACATATCAAAATTTTTTTGATGGGAAAACGGCATTTCGAAAAATATTCGAACAGTAGTTGACAGTTACGATAATTTATGACATTGTCATAGTTAACTTGAGAATATTTGACAAGTAGTATTTCAACGAAGTTTCAAGGCAACTAGATTGCTCATAATAATTCTGTTTTATCGAATCAAACACATTTTTTTTCAACCCCATCAATATGACGCTCCAGTATTTTCTGTTCTGTACAAAAACGGCTTCAATGGTTATCATTATAGCAGACATATTTTGATTCACAAAATAAATACGACTAGTGGAATGACTTTGAGATGGAAATTATCGTTTTGTAAATTAATACCAAATGGTTCAGTAGTGTCAAGTGAGTAGTACGACAAGATGATTACAGGTTTTACGGGTTATTTTTGCTGTTAGTAACAAAATATTGTCATTCGTATAAGTACCAGAATTGGGTGTTGGAGAATCATTAGGTTTCATTTGTCAAAACAAAAAAAAAAAAAAAATATTTTATGAAATATTTTGAAAACGCGACTTTAATTTTTTTTTGTTTTCGGCATCGAGAATACCATTAAAAATGCTACTAGTTTGCCCATTTGACTGAATTCGTAGCATCAATAATAACGGAATTGGCAATGGTGTTGACTCAATTTGGAACACCCTTCATACAGCTCATCGAACATGCGACAAAAATTTAAGGAATATTCCAGAGAACCGTCTATTCAACGATTATTTTAATAATTGAGTAAGGGCGATGTTATGTCCCCCAACGACGACGCCATCTATGAGATCGAGGGAGAAATCTATCCTTGAATTACAAATAAGAACGAGGCTCCCCGAGACGCTTAGTTGCAAAGTCAAGTTTCGATATCGACCGCTGACAAGATCAGTCCTCTGTCTTTCACTGCAGAGTTCACTTCAAGGCAACTAGCTGAAAACCAGAGCCCAAAGATGACTCAACTATGATCCAACACTAGACAGTGCTATTTCGACCCGCCATAGCTGCCTTGCAGTGAAAGGCAGAAGACGAACCTCTGAATGAAGAGGAACATCAACTGGTAACTGACTTATGTCTTCAGTACCAGGATACTTCTCATTTATAAGGAGAAAACCTTGTATTTAACAATGAAATGAAGCACACCATTGAAACCAAGGAAATTCGACAGGTTCCCAGAGCTACATATAGAAGAAGTGAAAACTCAAATCATCAAAATGTTGCAACAAGTTATGAATTACAGCAAGTTTAGGTAAACAGAAATGGAGAGTTGTTATTGATTACCGAAAATCTAATAAGCTTACGGTGGACGACAAATACCCTCTACCAACCTCCTAGATTAGCTTGGTAAATGCTGATATTTTAACATATTCGATCTTGCATCAGGATTTCATCAAATAAAAACCGAACCGAAAGACATCTCCAGAACAGCTTTCTCCATAGACGATGGTCACTAAGAATTCATACATATGCCTTTCGGATCGAAGAACGCTCCAAGCTCTTTCCAGAGAGCAATAATTAACGTTCTTCTAGGTATACAAAGTGAAAGATGTCTTCGTATACATGAATCACATCATCTACGAGCATGTACCAATATTGACAGAAGTATTCGAAATACTTCGAGAAGCCAATCCAAAGTTCCAACCGGACAAGTGCGAATTTCTTGAACACGTTATCACCCAAAATTGTGTCAAAACGAACTTACAAAAATCTAATATATTCAAAATTTTTCCGAACCTAAAAACCAAAAATAGAATAAATTATTTCAAAACTTAACAGGACACTTCAGATACAATTTTGCAAAAAAAAATCCAAACCTAATTACTTTCCGCCGGATGCAGACAATCATTCGAACAACTTAAAAACAAGCCCTATTCTGATTCACCCTGATTCCAACAACCACTTTACTTACTATTGGTGCTAGTGAGTTTGCAATTATTGCCATTTCATTGCTATTTTAGGATCAATTGGCAAATACCTTTCAATAGCGTATGCACCCAGAACACTTTGTAGTGCAGAAATGAAGTACTCTACAATATTTACTCTCTATATTTTTGTAACTTCGACGAAACTACTGTGGTGAGAAGTAGACACTCGGAAACGATTAAAGAAGAGATCGGCATAAAAATCAAATAGATCTACCATTGAACAAATTGAACGACTGTTTCGTATTCACTGTATTGGGTTTGAGGTAACAAAAGACATTTTGAATCAAATTGGAGTTCGAGAAATTCAAGAACTTACAAAAGTCTACCTACTAGAGATGAATCCCAACTTGTAGCAGACGATGTACAAGAACTTACTCGAAAATGGACAATACATAATAGGCGACTAAAGGAATCATCCGTGATCCACCAATTGAAAATTGGTGGATCACGAAATTACGGCGGTAAAATATTCATGAAAACAAAAAAAATAATCACATTTGCCAAATAATCATCGATTTTCGAAATGGAATGAATTGATTAGATGAATAGCAAAAATTTCAAAACTCATCAAGATTTTGAAAAGTACAAACAATGAATATGAAATTATTGATAGGACTTGATAATGATCGATATCTGTGAACCAGAGGAACTGTGGAGAAAAATATATCAGAAGGAAAGCTTTTTCTGAAAAATCACTTCTCGTCAAAAGCAATATCTGTTTGAGAAAGCAACTGAAACTCAAAAAGATTTATTCAGTGATGTATGGAAGATGAATCTAATAATCCAAGTAAGATCTGATTTAGCCCGTTTTTTACGAAGCATACAGTTCCTAATATACTCGGACAAAAATATTTTATCATCGATGGATTTTCAGCTGTAAACTAACTCCTTTTTTTTCTATTGTCAGTAATTCCGAATCAATATGGCCATGCCAAAGATGTCAATTTCCAATTGAAAGACTAATTTCAGATGGAATCATTGGAATCGATTACTTTAGTATTAGGAACATAATTAGAAAAATGATGGTGCATACATGCCTTTCGATGCATACTATTCATCTTGAAGTATCATATTCATTATCACCGACTTCACTACTACGTCTCTTTATAGGAGAGGAGAATATCCACAGACATTTTTTTATAATGATGCAATAAATTTTCGAGGAGCTATAGAAGGATTGAAGAAAGTGTAGAAAAAAATGTAAGTCATAATAATAACATACTACTGTTCTTTAAGTCGATAGATGATCTTTCCAAGTTTATTTTACATTTTAACGATATATAAGCTGGTAGTGCATTTCTAATACTACGAATACATTACCCTAGAGAGATATTATTTCGACTCTTTCATACCATTTTCATAGAAAAGACACTTTAGATCAATACTTATACCAAAGCAATGCCTCCATGAAAACTGTCTTTCATAAGCATAATGATGCTTCTTAATAGAAGTAACCCATTAATATGGAGTTTTCATACCATTTGAGTAAGAGTATCATACATGTTGACATCTTTCAGATCATCATTTGATTTCCAGAAATCTTCTACTGACATGAGAGAGCCATCTGAAAAAATTGAAGTAAGATTTATTTCCGAGCATTAGAGAAAACTACCTTGTTTCCATACGTTGAAACACAAAACTGGCACGCCGTAACTGATATGATAGGCAACATGATATTCAATAGTAACCAACATCATTTTATCACCATCCTTCAAAATGCTTGATTCTTTTTTGGATATATATGAACTATTGTCTTGACCCTATAATCCGACAATGACCATTTTGATTTCCAAATATCTATATAACTAACGTCTCACCTCATAAATGTTCATTTTCCAACCATCAAGTATTGCATCGGAAACTTTTACTATCTCCTCTACGCATTCGACAAAACGTGCGGAAGATAAACATTCCATTGCTACCTGAAACAAATCATATTAACTTCTTTCAAAATTGAATATTCTCACATAGCACAGGTATTCTGTTTTATTATGTGTTTTAGGAACCACACATGTGCGGTTGGCTTCTGTTGTTGACTCCGTGCGTATGTGTTGTTTCCTGCTTTCGGCAAGCAAGTGTTGCCCATCTTGGCTGCACCGCGCTGATGAGGCCAATAGCCAGAAACACGTGTCCGCGGTTTGCCCCCCTTTTTTGGAGTGTTGTGTCCACCGATAACATAACACATAACAGAAAATATTAATACTATCACTTCTAAAAAAACAAGAACGCAAAATGACAAGTTCCCAAATACACCTTTTATTTTTGTATGTTATTTATATCATGAAAATGAGTTATTATGAGTAATAATTTCATATTCAGTTTGCTCACATATATTACTAAACTTTTTTCAAAATTCCAATCATATCCCAATCTCTCGGTTGAAAAAAGATATCTTCATAGTTATTTAAACAGACTGCCGATAATGAATTGTCTGTTGCAGATCAGGGGAGAAGTTGGAGAAAGTGAGAGAAAGGAAGACATAGAGAAGTGTTTTTGAGAATGATGAAAAGTTTCTAAAATTCTAATTTCACCAGGACATTTTGTAACTACAGTGTCACACATAAAGTCTGCAACATAGAAGTTTTTGGTCACAGTATTATATTACAAATTTTGGATTATTGTTGGACCACCAGCGACAATTTTGGAAACTAACTCTTCAATTAGATGTGAAGGTTGCCTCGTCTGTCCAAAAAATGTGGTAGGGAAATTCGTTATTATTTTTCCCTCTCACGTTGAAAGCAAAATAAAAACCCTATTCGATTATCGGAATTTCTGGAAAAGAAAGTTTCTGGCCTTCTACGGAATAGAGAAAAGTGTATAATTCACCGATCATATAGAAGCACTTTTCTTTCGCGTATAATTCATTGCTTATATAAAAATAGCTGTTTCGAAAGTTTGAGTCTGAAAATCACTTCTTCGCGTGGTCAACACATCTTTGTATGAAGTTCATTTTTGAAATTGATTGCTTTCTTGCTTTCTTTGGAAGATTCCCACATTTTTTGTATCAAGATGGAGAAGTAGAAGGCCAAAAACTTTCCCAAAAATCAATCTCTCCCTAAAATATACCCTTTCAATTCAAATACCGAAATATCATCCTTCCAAATTATTATTGTGCAAAATACTTCTCGCACTTTCTCTGCTAACCCCTGTATTTTCACTAACACTCCAAATATCAGTTTTTTCTCTTTCAACAACGCTCAAAGAAATATTGAGATATTCTTCTTCATTATACCCCATTGAATTATGTATTTTTTCGAAACGATTGTCCACAGAGCCAGTTTCATTCAATGTTTTCAATATTATTCACATGTTATTGATTGAAAATATAAACATTTCAATATGGAATATTATCACCACATAAAAGAACGATTTCCACTCTTGTGTGGATAACATCGCACTTGAAACTTATTTTTGAATTATGAATGTACAAACAGCTAGAACGGAAGTCTTTTGAATAGTTATAAAACTATAGGTAGGTCATAGTTTAGGTAACAGAAAAGTATGATATTCCGGGTTTGTTTATAACTGATTCATTGATAAAAAAAATAATGAAACTAGATACAAATCTATTCAACAAGGAATAACTAGTGAAGTTAAAAGAAAGAGAAATCCATTTACTCAATACTAGATAAACTTTGCAACAACAAAGACGAATTTCTGGAGGTGCATTAATGTTTTGCCTGATAACAGGCCAATGTAGGTATTTCCTGGGCAAGATATGACATCGAAGTGTCGTGAAATTTGAATCACGTTCCATGCGAATCGCAAATCGCAACCTCTATGGCATTTTTCGAAATTGAAAAAAAAACTGGTTGTAAGAATTTAAAAAAGTATAAAAATTGACAGATTTGGAGTGGCATATTTCAAGCACAAATTCATTGCGAAATCAAATTTTGAATAAATCTATTAAGGAAAAAAGTTTTCATATGTTGCGTACTTTATGTGAGACACTGTATATTATACATTCATGAAGCGAACGGTTCTCTGCAAACTTTTGATAAAACACTCAAATTGTCATAATATTATTCACATTTCAAGAATGAACTAAATAAAGTTTTCAAGGTCCATGCACAGATACTGCATATACCACCAAAGGCTCTCCAAGGTAAACAACACGTTAAATTTCACAAACTCATTTGAATACAATCATCAACATCATAAAAGAGCAAAAGGAACTGAAAAATAAATTAGCAAAGGTCCGATTTATTTTTTATAAAAATTTTAATTTATTCAGCAGTAAACGTTCGGGAACGCCTTCGTAGTCTAGACAAAAATGCAGTTTCGACAAACAAAGATGGTGACTGATTCATTGCTTCAACTTTTTATTGCAATATACAGCATCTTCATATCTGCGGAGCATTCCGCAAGAACACCCACCCACTCAGAAGTCAGAAGTTATTGGGTTGATAGCAACAGGGTCGTACTGGTCAGTACGCCATCATTCATTCAGTGGTGTTTCCGTTTCATGACTAATGTGTGTATAATAGATTCAAAAATATAGGAGTTATAATTCACTCAAAAATCACAACTGCCATTAGTCATGGGATCTTGTAGTTCGTTTTTGGATTAGTAACCCTTCGACAACTCTTGTACAGAACGTCTTATAGAATTTAACTCGATCTTCATCAGAATTTTTTGTGGTAACACAATTTGTTAATACAAGCATTTTAGGTGTATTTTTTATACTACATAAGTAACTGAACTTCTCGAAACATGGATTTCTAGGAATATTGAAATCTTCTGTAGTTTTCTACATTTTGAACAGTTCTGCAAGTGCAAAAATTAGATCTACATTCTTCTTTATCAATTTACAGAGATTGTAATTACAAGCAATATTCAGTTTGAGTTATATAAACCTCTTTATGAACAATCTCCATTAATTACTCTGTTATCCCTCTTCAAGTATCTTATGCTTACAACTATATTGCAGTTTTGCTGCCGATTTCTTTGAAGTAATTGTTTTCTTCAAATGGAAGATTCATAATATTTTTGCACTTATATATTTCGAAGCCATGCCTCTAAACAAATTTTCGTATTTTTTGAACCAGTATGAATTTCACACATAAACAAATAATGAAGTACAATCAGTGCACATTGAATAATTTCAACCTCTAGATTCTACAAATTATACTAATAATACTGTTAAAAAGCCAAAGTTTCAGGTTCTTGAAGTATACTTCCCTTCATCTTTCAAATTTCTCGCCATATTACAAACTGTTACAATTTAACATGAGCTTTTTTTACACTTCTCCAGACTCCGAGAACAATTGTCTTGGTATCAATCTGAATGAAGCTTTCGCCGGACGCGGTTGCTGTTTGAAAAGGATCACTACAAGAGAAAGAGAAATGAAAAGGATCTTATAGAACATAATTTGTACGTTTTACTCCCATTTTCCATGGTTTAGACAAAGTTTAAGGCTCTGACAATACATAACTTGAACATGTATCCCACACTAGTATATTCTAGTAAAGTTTATTTAATTTTCTTACCGGCTATGGTCATACCGGCGCATATTACGAATTCACGCTTCAAAACTACTCTCGTCAAATTGTATTTTCAATTTGAGTCAGCTTATTCAAATGTATTGTAAAAAACCTGAGTTCCCGATTTGAGTTAGTTTACTTCAGTTTTATTGTTGAAAAGTTGTAAATTAATAGTCAGTTTTACTTTTCTTACTAACATTACAATTGATTGTTTAAAATAAATTTTAATCGATTTCAATACACACTTAGTAAATTCTGTATCATTGTAAATCCTAGATAGCCGTAGCTTCAAAATGACGGATTATATATTGTTTCACAACTACCTCTATATGGGTATGAAATGACAAGGATTGACTAGTAAAATAGTAGTCAACCTTGGAAAAATGCAAATTCAAGATTGCCGCAGCTACAAAATGACGGATTACATATTTTTTCACAACTACATCAATACGGATATCAAATACAGGGCTTGACTAGTAGAATAGCAGTACACTTTGAGAAATATCCAAATTCAAGATGGCCGCATCTACAAAATGACGAATACATATCACCTTGTAATACTGAGGAACTAAAAAATTAACTAAACAGAATGAGAAGAATTGAGTAACAAAATTCGAAACTAAAAACTTTTTTATGTTGAACAGTTTTATTGAAAAAAAAAGATTTATTATGTTTATTGTGTAGATTATGTATGTACTAGACACTAAAAAATAATTCGGAAGGTCCTAATAGTCATTACTCAAGTTACATACCGTAGTAAATATGTTAATATGTAAATACTACACCCAACAATTTTATTATTTTTTTATCTGATCAATACCGTAGATTGCTGAGGAGTGGTGTGATGACTGCTACCTAGGACCTTTCGAATTAGTTTTTAGTTTTTGATACATTATCTAAACCAAAGGTTCCAAACGGTGCATCATAAGTACTATTATTTTACTACCTGTGTCAAGACATCAGAATTTTCCAAATTCTATTATCTTTCAGATTCCTGTATTATTGGTAGACCTTGGGTTGTTTTCAATTGTTTCTAATAATGTCAACACAACGAATAATGAATGCAACGATTGAATCAGAGCTGTATTTGGTTACTGTAATATCAATATTATTGTTCAACTCGGCCACTGTGAACTTTGTCTGGACTATCGGATTATTGCAGTTCTTCTGAACGAATAATTCAGAAAATATTTTCAGTTTTCACTAGAATCATTTTGTACTTCTTACCGTAGAAGCTACTCGCGATTCTTTTCGGGATCACAGACAGTAGGAAAATCAAATACATCTAGTACGGTCGGTTTCCTACTAACAATAGCACCAAAAATTGTATGTGCGTAACCAATATGAATCTTTTCATCGATATCTGATAAGTAACGCGGTGAAACGCTGCACCGAAAAGAGATTATACAAAAACATAAGTTTCACATATTCCCATTGATTTTCTACGGGTTAGACAAAGAAGAAAAATATGTATTAGAGTGAGTTAGGGCTCTGTCGTTATATGCTTTAGAGATGTATCCTCGACCATCAACGAATTCACTTACTGTTATAGATTTTATGAAATCGATCATTGCCTTCTGTTAGATTTTTTATCAATTAAAGGTTTGACAACATTGAAATAGGTAATATGATGACTTTTTGATGCGATATGACCTGAACAAATATTTACTCTGGGTTATCAGTTTCGGCGATTGAAACCTTATTTTATTTACAATACTTTTTCAACATTCTTTATCTCATGATTCAATGAAAGTTCCTTTTTTTATCAAAAGATTATAATCGATAAAATAAACATGATCGCCTCACCAATCACATGAATCAGTAACAACGCCAGTGATTCAACTAGACTGACTCATGCCACTTTTTCAGAAACAATCCAGTCAAAACAATTCCCATTAATTATTTACCAACACAAACGGAACACCATTTACTACAATATTCATCAGATAAATTCCCTGAAATCCCCTCACTCCGCCCTCTCATGCCGCCAGACACTCTCGAATCGAAGCAGTTGGCAACGGTTACTAAGGTCTGCTAGCTACGGTCGAGTAACAAGCTGCGACATATGGCGAGACAATTTCCTGTCCAGTGAAAGGCGTACAATAGAAGATGGACGTCGTAGCTTGGGGATTTTCAGGCATGTGCATTTTGCTGCATTTTGTTTTTCTTCTCTTCGACAATAACGATCAGTGCTGGCAGGGGGGCGAAGAGAATGCGGTTTGGGATGTATTGCATACCTACTTTGTTTTGGCGATATGTTCGAGGAAGGTTTTCATGGAATCGGTCATCTTGCGGGAATTTGCATCAGCTGAGTCAGTCAAATTTTGATTATAATGTAATTTAATGATATACATTGTCTAGAAGTATTCTCAACTGCCATGACGAAGTATTAACGTAGATTCTGCACCCATATTAAATTGGCGACCTCTATTTTCCGGAAATTCCCGAAAGACCATAGGCGTGCGTGTATCTGCGTAATTGAAAAGGGTTGTCAAATTAATTATATTGAATCATGTGTGTTTGACTCGAACAAATAAAAATTCAGAATGATCTTATTGACTATGTACATGGAACAAACAAAAATCCGCCTTCAATGAAATATTCACAGTTGAAGAATATTACTCAAACAAGGTGAGGAAGCAAGTATAATGACAATAATAATAAGCGAATCCTTCTAAAATGATAGAAATGATGAATGAGATATAGGACCAGTGACCCATGACACTGTTAAAGTCGGTAACATAGGTATGGGATTTTTTTACTAACATACCTAATTACTCAGTTGAAAATGAATTTTAGCATTGGTCTTAGTTTGAATGAGATCAACAGGAAATCTGGAAATGTCACTTTTGAATGGAGTTTCAAAAGATGTAGTTTATTTAGTAATTTCATGACCTATTCCATTTTTCGGGTCCATGTAATTAATCATAATGTACTCCATCATAACATCAAAGGAGAGAAATCGCAATGCATCATAACGCTACAAAATCATAATCGTAATATACAGAATACATAATGCAGAGAAACGTAAGCCATCATAATCGCAATGCATCATATTCACATTGTATCATAAACTCAATGTATCATATCGCTAAAACGTAGAAATCGTATTGTACAGAATCCGTTTACCATCATAACCGTAATGTATAGAATACGTAAAGTATCATAACGTAATCCATCATAATTTGGTTGCGCGCGCATCAAGTCTCTCACAATAGCTCACCGGTGCCATAGTCGATGGGCCGAACACAAATATTCTAAGCAGAATAAACCATCATATTATTAACGGAAATTTGCTATACTACGTAGAGTAAAATTTATTTCAAATGCATTTTACTTTGAGTTTCATCAAAGATAACCAAAATTATGTGGATGCTTCGAACTAATATTAAACGTTTTCTAATTTTTTCATTGATAGATTCAGTATAATTACTAGAGAGATGTTTGATAATGATTATTATAATAAATAGTCAATTTCATTTTCATTTCCATTAAACATATGCAATAAAAACATTTTGTGAGTAGATGTCAGGTATTTCAAAATGGCCGATCAGTTACATAATTAAATCAGTTGGTGTACATTGATTGTAATAAACTGCTTCGTATATTAATTTAGTTCCTGTATTTCCTGGTTTTACATTCTTTGGCATATTAGGTACTCTTCGTAGCGGTTCAGTCTGAAAGCATTGTTGATTTACGTAACTCGATAGAATCCGTAACGTTAATATTTTGTATTATTTTATTGAAACTTGTGGGTCACCGTCGTACTGTTGGATAATATTGCTTTGAAGTGACGTCATTTCTATCGGTTTCTTGAAATTGAAGGGTAATTCCGTCAAATCATTTGCAGAGAGACACGGCTTAATTATAACTTTTTGTTTAGGTTGTATAGAAGGGTTGCATTTTTTCAAATCTATTTCGTCTACACTATTCTATTCACTGGTATGAAACTATAGTCTATTTCAAAAGAGTGTAGAGTAATAAAATCTCATTAAGTATTCAAAAGCGCTACAGGGTGATCCGTCAATAAATTCTGTCACTTCCCTAGTCCGCATTGCAAAATTATGTCGTTTCATAAAGAGCAGGTAGGTATCACCCTGAAACTTCTATATAGCAGTTTATGTGTGAGGAAAAAATTAACAAAAACAAATTATTGACAAAATTATACAGTTGAATGTGTTAATCTGGAACATAAAATGTTTGTTTACCACACAAATGAATTGGAAATTATGGAAAGAATTATAATTATAAACCAAACGAGTCATCCGGATGTGATAGATATGATCAGAAACTTGAAAATGAGTAGCAAATGAGATATGCTCTCCACTAACATTTTTATGCAACAAATGTTCCATTGAGAAATCATCCTGACACAGAAAAACTTACAGAAGAAACACTCAGTACGAAACAGAAACCATCAACTTTTTAACAAATGACAATCATGAGGGTGAATATTGTCAACCTAAAAATCTCCTCATTATGTTAGTGAACGTTAGTTTGGATTAAATATTGGTCTAAAAACTTGCTGAAATGACATCGTGAAAATTTCTCAACTATAAAATAAAATTGTACAGTGTGTCCGCAAAGTATGGAATAAATTCGATATTTCCAAAACCAAAGGTCATTTTACAAAAACCTGAAACACGTCGATTTTTAATTTTGATATTCTATATTTCACAACAAAATTTCATTATACAGGGTGATCCATATTAATGTGATGACGTCATCGGTAATTTTTTTAAATGCAACACCCTGTATTTGATGTCAGTTTAAGATAATCCGTAACAAGCTGATTCCGAAAAGGTATGATCCTTAGGGTCTGAAGAACAGAATTTGAAAGATAATTATTTAATATTTTTTTCTAATGAAAAAATTGAGAGTATATCCATGCCGTAAATTAGTTTTGGTCATAATAGGTCACATGCATGTTTTTTTTTATAAATATTCTAATCGATTATACCTAACATTCATTCAAACACAGGAAAAATAAAATAACCGCCAGAAGTATCAATAGTTGACAAGAATTAAAATTATTTCAAAATGATGGCAAATCAAACAGTCAATCTTTGGCGGAAGGATGAGACGTCAAAATACTTACATGTTATCCAGGTTACATGTTACAGGTTATTCAAACGTGGAATGGAATGGAATGGAATGGAATGGAACCTTTGGTGTAGTAATGAATATTACTGTAATCGTGACGTAGCTAAGAGCGAGCGAATGTACGATGTTCCCTGCCGCTCAAGAAGCAGCGGCAATAATGCTATCGACAGAATTTTGGCGAAATTTTCTAAAGCATTCAATTACGGTATATAAAGGCTCGCCACGAACATATCAACACATTAAAGTGCGGTACGCGAAGCAATCTAGTAAGGCGATAGACATTCGAATAATAGTTGAAGTTTTAGTTGAAATTATTGTTGTATTTAAAATGAAATAAAGTTAAGTTTGATTATTCAGTGTAGTCAATTATTGGACATCCCACGGAAAAACGTAACATTAAAAAAAAAACTGTTTTTTCGTTAATCAGCTGTCGCACCCCTACGAACGACAACCCTCAGAAGTCGAAACTTGTGCGAGCTAAGGATTAACGAGGTCTTACCTTCGTTCGTTCGTTCCACCGACCAACATGGCAGTCAATTCGAGTGAGTGAACAAAGCACCCATGTCGAACCGCCTGGCTACCGACCTAATAATTGATAAAAAATGTTCTTGTTTTATAGTGAAAACAAGGAGTGTCGATTACGACGAGATGGAAGAGCTTATAAGAAAATGTTCGAGGCTTTGCAAGCCTGCCGGATAATGAAAGTCTCAGAAGAGAAGAAGATAAACGCAGAAGACGGGAAGATGAGCGCAGAAGAGAAGAAGAACAATTACGCCGAAATAAAGATGGTGAATTACTACAAGGTATTCAGGAAAAACAGGAAAAAGACAGAGACTTGCTGGTGAATATTAAAAAAAAAACAGGAAAAAGGCAGAGACTTGCTGGTAAATATTCAGGAAAAACAGGAAAAGCAGGAAAAAGACAATTAGATTTACCTTCATTTATTGGAAGATTTAAAATCTGCCCAAGTGAGTGAAGGGGAGGTACAGGAATATATTCAGGAAGAATTTAAGTATTTCAGGAAACAAAGGAGGGATTGAAAAAAGTAGTCAATGAGAAGCTTGAAGGAATTGAAAAAAATTGAAGAGGAGTTGGAAGGAGTCGGAAGGAAACTTAAAGGTGTCGACATAAAGTTCGATGAGATTTTCCGGGAACTTCGTAAAGAATTACCGGAGTCGAAAAGGATTACTGTGGAAAAATGCATATCGGAAACGACATATTCCCCTTCTAGCAGTAGTTTCATTAAAATTCCAACTTTCGATGGCGAATCTTCATGGTCAATTTATCGCAAACAATTTGAGGCCGCTGCGGAAAATAATGGGTGAAGAAATGAGGAGAAAGCAACAGCTCTCATACTGGCACTACGAGAAAAGGTTTCCGAAATTATGCAAAATAATCCAGTGAATGGGCAGAAGGATTATGAAGCCCCTAGGTATTCGATTTTCATGATTGGACGTAACAGTAACAGCTTAGTTGTCGACGGATTCCTGAATAATCATCAGTGCCTTTTCACCATCGACACTGGAGCAACGAGGTTAGTAATGAGAGCCGACATTTCCAACAGAAGCAGTTTGAAGAAATTATCAGTAGTACCTGTTCTGAAAACAGCCACTGGAGATGAATTGACAGTCTATGGAAAATCTGAAGTGAGACTTAGGATTGGAAACTGCGAAATAGAAACTAAGGTATTAGTAGCCAACAATCGACGAGTTCATTTTGGGACTAGACATCATGTCCCCCTACGGATTCGGAACAAACCGTTGAAGTTTGGAAATGAGGAAATTTTGCTCGACGTGCCCCTCAGCCTTATTACAGCGCTAAAGTGGTTATACTGGAAGATTCCAGAATCTCTCCAAACACCAAGAAAATTATTCAATCGGAAATTGCTGGGCATGACGGCTTGGGTATAGCATTGA